CTACTGACCTTGGATGAGTTCTTGCACATCTAGGGCTGGCTGAAACAACGGGGTCCTCCTTCATGTGTTCTCTCACCTTAGACGTCAGGCAATACTGGGCTTCTTCACAAGGCCGTGGCAGTGGTTACAAGATTGAGCAGAAGTGTGCAAGGTCTCTTTAGGCTTAGATCAAACATTGGCATATTCTGTCAGCTGAAGCAAGTTCCAAATCCAGCCCAGATTTAAAAGGTGGGTAAACGGACAGCACTTCCTGAGAGAAGCTATAAATTCACATTGCAGAGAATATGGATAGAGGAAAGGTTGAAGAAATGCAGCACAGCTATTTTTTATAATCATGATCCATATGACAGATCTTAGTTATGTCCTTGGTCAACACTTGATTCTCTTCTCTCTCCACCACCATTTCTGTGAAGAATGTCATGGACAATTGGATCAGAATCACGCTGAATTTGTAAATTAATTTGGGTAGAAGTGACATTTTGATCCTTCCAATCCAAGAACACAGGATATCTTTCCACTTTTTTGTATCATACTCAATTTCTTTTTTAAGTTTTTCATAGTTTTCCTTGTAGAAGTCTTTCACCTTTTGGTTATGTTTATTCCTAAGTATCTTATTTGTTTTGTATCTCTTATAAATGAGATGATAAATGTAAATTGGGCAATCAATTGAACAGACAACTCTCCAAGGATGACTTTCAAATGGGCAAAAGGTATATGAAAAAATGTTAAAAGTCTCTTGTCAAAAAGGAAATGCAAGTTAAAAACACAATTACATACCATTATACCCCAGTTAGAATGGTTAGTATCCAAAAAATAAAAAATCACAAGTGCTTAGAGAGGCTGTGTTGAAAAGGGAACACTTTTACACTGTTGGTGAGAATGTAACAACCTCTGTGGAAAACAAAAAATAGAGGTTCCTCAAAAACCTACAAATAGAACTACCATATGACCCAGTAATCCCACTCCTTGATATATACCCAAAGGATTAAAAAAAAAAAAAAAAAAAAAAAGTAAAAAAGATGGAGTGGCACTGATCCTGACACTGTGCCCAAGTCAGAAAGACACTTGCATATCCATGTTTATTACGGCATTATTCACAATTGCTATGAAATGAAATCATCCTAAGTGTCCAAAACATGATGAATGGAGTTGAAAAATTGTGGCACAAATATACTATGGAATATTACTTAGCTGTAAGAAACAATGAGACCTTATTGTTTGATTCAAAGTGGATGAATATAGAGGACTTCATGTTGAGTGAAGTGAGCTGACTTTGAAAAACATGCACTGTATATCCCTTCTTGATATGTACTAAATATCTGCACTATATGGGAGAAATGGAAAGCTCTAAAGGTATGATAGTACAAAGGATAAGTGTAGATACCAGAGACTGAAAGAGAGGGGGAGCATATGGTAGAAGACAGGGTAAGGTGCAAAGGGAAGAACCAGTTAAAAGACAAAATAACTGCAAAGCATACATTATGATGGAGACTTTGTGTAAAATGTGAAATTAATCCGTACATTTAAAAAAAAATACCAAAAAAAAAAAATAGGTCTATGATTCTACTCTTCTAGAAAGGAGTGTATTTGTTCTGTGTCCTCTGGGCTTTGAAGAACCTAATGCACATAATATGCAAATGGCTGCATTATAAATGCACTAGTTAGAGGAATAAAGGTAAAAATCTCCAAGATGTACTAAGCAATAGGTCTAAATGGCATCTGAACATACTCTGTTTATTTTTGTGATTCAAGTGCTTCTTTTAAATATCAATATATGATTTACTAACCATAAAGAGTTTTGTTTTATTTTTAATTAAATTCACCAAGACAGGTACATCATGGAATGTTATTTGTAGGCTGGCATTAATGACACACTACAGTGTTCCTCTCTTTCCTGATCTCAAATGGTTTACTTTCCAAAGTTGCTAGTGACAGATAAGTGTGTCCGGACTTTGTCCCCTCTCTAAGCCTTTGCTTTATTATCTTAAACTTTAAACTATAGAATTAGTCCTTAATTTTTGCAAGCCAATTCTTTTGTTGTTGTTGTTGTTTCAGAATCCTGGGTGGTCTATACATTTCCATCTTTCAGTCTCTTTAAGAGTGTTGCTCTTAAACAAGACTACCCCTTAAACAGCAGTAGTATTCATTAACTTACACATACAATGTACGCCTGCCCTCTTGTGTCGAGATGCTGCTTCAGTAAGGAGTGAATTAGCAAACTTGTTATGCCAGAAATACAGCATTTCGCCTATGGGGATTTTCTACCAGAGAGCTTGCTCAAGGCTGACAAGTATGGTTCTACAATTTGAGCACTGCAAAATGACCCCAGCCCAAGAGATGAACGGGGATTGAAAACCATCCACATTCTCTCAATTCATGTATCTTCTATCTAGGATGTGTCTTTCCAAAGAGGTTATCCATTAAAATTTCATTCAAGGGTGCCATCAAACCTTGTACTGCCTAGAGTGTGCAAGTCTCTCCAATTTACACAAACTCTGTATAGACTACTCATGGCATCCTGTGTCGGCTCATTAAGAGTTAGCAGGACATGGGAACCAGCAGTTAGCGTAATGGCTATGTCGCTGGACTCCCACGTAGTAGTCCGCGGTTCGCGTCCTGGACCCGGTGGCTTAAAACTCACGCCAGGCGCGTGTGCATGCGTGCCCAAGATCCCGAGAGGAGAATGGAGGAGAAGGGATTGCGGCATGACCATCCCCTCTGGGGGGTGATTTCTCACTTTCAGTCTCTATGTCTCTCTCTGTCTGGCGAGTGCCCGCACCCTATAGTGAAAAAAAAAAACCTCTCAAAAAAAAAAAAAAACAGCAGGACACTCCTCTCATGTAACTTTCTTTCTCGGGAACTTACAGAAATCGCAAAATTAGATTGTTAGAACTAAATGACATAATTTAGTTTCAGGTTATCAGAAGAAAGATATAAGGAACAGGAAAGCAAAATGAGAATCGCTAAATTGATTAGTGGCAGTATAGGGAACTAAAATGCAGGCCTCCTGACCCCAGTTCATGTCCTGAAGTGACCTCCTTATTTGACCCTGCCTTTCCCATGTCATATGAGGCTGCAGTAGATGTGCAATTACATGCACAGTGCTGGTAAGGAGGTTTTAGGTGGTATGTGGACAAATATTTTTTGCATATTAGTAGAAATACATTTGTTTTAATGTGTTTTGGGGGGACAAAAAAATCCCATGGTTTCTTAGATCTTATTGCATGTGATAAAGCTAAGTATCTTAAGTTTCAAAGGGTGTTAAAGACAATATTAAATAATATATATGTTAGTTTGATTTAGCCATTCTACAATGTATACATACATCAAAATACCATGGTGTACACCATAAATATATACATTTTTTGTCAATTAAAAAAATAAAGAAAAATACCAAGTAAACAATAAATAGTACTGAGAGAGCAAAAATGATCAAAGTGATATACAAATGGCAGAAGTTTAGGATTATCTCAGTCCCCCTGGCTGCTGTAACAAAATACATCAGACTGGGTAACTTACAAACAGAAGTATTCCCTAGAGGCTGAGAGGTGGTGTCTGGTGAGGGCCCATTCCACACAGATGGTGCTTTCTTGCTATGATCTTGTATGGTGGAAGGAGGTAGTTAGCTCTATGGGCCTCTTTTATAAAGGTATTAATTCTACTCATGGAGGATACCCAAAGGAATTTACTACTCCGGTCCTTTCTAATGTTCTCGCTGGGGCCTTTTACTAACACCTTTTTAGCACTGAGAGTTCATTCATTACTGTCAGTTATTGATGATAACATATCCTCATTGTTGCAGCTGTGTGTGATGTTCTGTCCCTTCCATATTCATCCCTGTATAAACCACAAAATAAACTTTCAGAGACTTGTGGCTTCACTGATTTTTCCATGTTGCCTCCTTATAAAAAGCATTGATCCAGAGTATCAGTGTCCTAATTTCCAAAATCATGTTCACTTTTTTTAAAAAACCTCTTTTTTGTTAAAGAGTGAGAGTGCTCCCCAGAGACAAAGAGATAGAGAAAGTAAGAAAGCACCCAACCCCCCCCCCCCCAGGCAAGGCAATGGCCATGCCACAATCCCATTTCTTCCAACTCCTCTTGGGATTTTGGGCAACTAACCATATGAGCCCTGTTTTTCAAACTGCCAGGTATGGAACCTCAACAGCACATCGGACATGTGGGATCCAGCTGCTTTAACCACCACGCCACCTGCTGGCCCCAGTGCTATTCACTTTTATAAATGCATATATTTTTCGATTCATAACAATTATGTAGAGCCAGTCTTGTGGCCTAGTGGTAAGGGAGCTGGATCCCACATGGCTTACTTTATGGTTTGAATCTCAGTCTTGGTGGTTTGAAAAACACTAGGTGCACGTGTATGCATGCAAGCCCTAATCTCGGGAAAATGGAGAAATGGATGAGGAATTGAGGCATGACCATGCCCCATTGGGAGTGCTTTCTCCCTCTCCTTCTCTCTGTTTCTCTGTATGTCTCTGGTGAGTGCCTGCAGTCTTTGGCAAAAATTTTTAAAAAATCAAAAACCGTATACTTATATAAATTTAGAAAATACAGGAAAGTAGAAAGAAAGTACCTATCTATATTACTATCTAACAATGAGCCCTGCTTAATGCCCTTACTAATTAAAGGTTCTTCTACAAAATCTTAGCAGGTGGGCATCAATTTCCATTTATGATTTTGAAAAATTATAATATTATCAATTTAACATATTTTTATCATCCCAGATCATAAAGTCAAACATTTCAATGGAGAACTGGGGGTGGATTTCTACTGACACCTCTGTAAGCAGTAGTAGAATAACTACCACAGAGATGAGCCAAAACTGGGAGAAGTTACTGCACATCAAGGATAATAATAATACTTTGGCAAATAATGATATTCTTCACAAAAGGCATTGTGTATGTAAAGCTCTATGCTAACAATGATGTTTTAATATTCCATGTAGGCATACACTGATTTGCATATCTGTCTTTCCTATAGGGTTCCTAGAGTCTCTGGATGACTTTTACATTCTTAGCAGTGGTCTGATATTGCTGCAGACCACAAACAGCGTATATAATAAAACTCTACTAAAGAAAGTGAAACCTGAGACTCTTCTGGCCTGGCAAAGAGTCCGCATAGCCAATATGATGGCAAATAGTGGCAAGAGCTGGGCAGAGATCTTTTCAAAATACAACTCCGGTAAGTGGCCCTGCAGAACAACTTGTAGCCCATGTATACATGCTTAGATTTAGATTGTTAACCAGTGAAGCCAGACCCATACCCATGTCCTGCCTTCATGTCTACAATATTTCAGGTACTTACAACAACCAGTACATGGTCCTGGACTTGAAGAAGGTAAAGCTGAACCAAGAAGGTAAAGCTGACCCGCAGTCTTGATAAAGGCACTCTGTACATCGTGGAACAAATTCCTACATATGTAGAATATTCTGAACAAACTGATGTTCTACGGAAAGGTACTTTCTTCATGCTCTAAGTATGAATGTGTGTATGGTGGCAGAATGTACAGTACCTGAATATGTGATAGGAGAGCATATGGTGGGAAAGAAAGGATGGGGAGGCCATTGCTAGTTACACGGGGGAAGCATTACCAGGTTCAGCACAACATGTAAACCTACACCTCAAACTCTTATGAGACAATGTGCAGACTGGACACAAATCAGGCATTAATGATTCTATGACTTCTCAAGGTTTTAATGCTACCCTTCCTCCTGGGTTCCTGGTGAAAGCTTTCAGTAAATTCATCTATAAATGCTACTGTTGCTCAAGGACTAGAAAAGCAAGGATACAAAATTCCTGTCTTTTTTTTTTTTTTTGGAGAGATTTTCACTGTAGGGCGCGTGCGCTCGCCAGACAGACAGAGAGAGACATAGAGACAGAAAGCAAGAAATCACCCCCCAGGGGGGATGGTCACGCCGCAATCCCTTCTCCTCCATTCTCCTCTCGGGATCTTGGGCACGCACGCACACACGCCCGGTGTGAGTTTTAAGCCACCGGGTCCGGGACACGAACCGCGGTCGACTACGTGGGAGTCCAGCGACATAACCATTACGCTAACTGCTGGTTCCCCAAAATTCCTGTCTTTGAGGAACTCAGTGAGCCTCGTACGGAAGCAAAACACGTAAAGCAGCCATTAGAACCCCGGATGAGAAGAGTGGTAATGCAGGCTGGTGTACCAGCCTCGTGCTGAGACTACAGAGGGTGCTATTGATGGTGGGAAGGATCAGAGAAGGTGATTCTGGAGGGCAAGAGCACAGACCAGACGTTTGAAGCCTGAGAATCACACTGCCTCAATTCAAACCTCAGGTCCTCAAACCCTTGGGCAAATCATCTAACTTCTCCATGCCTTTTTTCATCTGTAAAATAAAATAGTCACAGGATAGGCTCCCAATCACTTACATATGATTTTTTTTTTTTTTTTTGCGGGGGGAGAGATTTTCACTATAGGGCGCGTGTGCTCGCCAGACAGACAGAGAGAGACATAGAGACAGAAAGCGAGAAATCACCCCCCAGGGGGGATGGTCACGCTGCAATCCCTTCTCCTCCATTCTCCTCTCGAGATCCTGGGCACGCACGCACATGCGCCCTGGGCACGCACGCACATGCACCCGGCGTGAGTTTTAAGCCACCGGGTCCGGGACGCAAACCGCGGTCGACCACGTGGGAGTCCAGCGACATAGCCATTACGCTAACTGCTGGTTCCCACTTACATATGATTTTGAAATTCCTAACTCTAAAGTCAGTAACTTTGTTTTTTTCTTTGTTTTGGTCCTAACCTACCTGGTGGCAAAATATGACCTGATTTGAACTCATGTGGCAGCAAAAACTGCCAAAAAATTGCCAATGAACTATTTATTGTCTTTATTTCTTTTTATACAAACTATTTATGCACTAGGCTACAAAAATAACAGTATCTTTGATTACGAGGTATTCCCCACAAAAAGTGTAATGACATATATATGTACTTCATTGTTCTAAAATCTGAAAAACTCTAAGTTTTCAAACTCATTTGACTCCCAAGAATTTTTGGATGTGAGAGTGTGAATGTGTGAATCTTCACAATTTCACTGTGTGGTCATGAGAATTGAGCAGCTCAGCCTTTATCTTTATTATTATTATTATTATTATTATTATTATTAAGGTTTTAAGAAATCACTCCCCAGGATGGAGGGGTGGCTGTACCCTTCTCCTCCATTCTTCTCTTGGGATTTTGGGCATGCATACACATGACTGGTGTGAGTTTCAATGCCACCTTGAAACTCTGGGACTTGAACCGCAGTCTGGGACTTGAACCACTGTCAGCCATGTGGAAGTCCAGCACTTTAACCATCATACTAACTACTGAACCCCAGCCTTTATCCTTTAGAAAATAAAAATTACTGACAAAGAAGAATAGACTAGAGATGGGAGAGAAGAATGGAGACTGGTTTCAGGACAGAACCAAGATAGTGTGGATCCTGGGAATAAGACCTGGTTCTCAGTTTCCCAGGCCCCCCAGTGGATTTTGTAACGATATCCAGAGTGAATCGTATTAGCAAAAATGACTCACACCCATGAAATCCATATAATAGTTATGCATAAAATAATTTTAGGTGGGAGTCCCAATTGCCAATAGTTCACAAACTACCAAGCAGTAGATGTATCTTTTTAGAAGAAAATCCACCTAGGCCAAGTCATTAGGTGGTTTCTCAGCATCACAATTTAAATTAAGAACCTAGACTGGTCCATCCAGCTCTTAAGAGCCTGACAGTAATACCATACCTCAAAAGACAAGACTGCTTTAAAAAAAAAAAAAAATCTTTCTTCTGAATGTTGCTGATTAACAGAACACCTTTGGGATACCATTCCTAGACCCCATGAAACTGCCCTAGGACTAAGAAGAGTTGATGCCGGCCCGTTTTTATTTATTTATTTATTTATTTATTTATTTATTTATTTATTTATTTATTTTTTATTTTTTTGCCAGAGGAGGGAAGAACAGTGTTAAAAGTCACTTGAGTGTTGTACTCTAGACTCTCTCTTGGGCCTTTAACTTAGGTTCTCCTGTTTGATGTTTGGAACATACTAGCAGATCAGTATTACTGTTACCATTTTACTAAAAGAGAAGACTCAAAAAGATACATGTGATTTACTAAATAAATAGGTGAAATCATGTAGCCATTAAAAAAAAAAAAAAAAAAAAAAAAAGCCCTTGGGAGCCCTTTAAACTCCCTA